TCACCGGCTTCGAGCCTTGGATAGACCAGGTCCTCGACATTTGAGTTCGCAAGTTCCTCTGTGATTCTGCGCATAAACATCACCTCGTCCCGCGTGTCGTCATGGTCCTGTAGAACCTCCGGCCATGCATCCTTCACAACAAACTTGGGCTTGATTCTGTCACCAGCAGGGTCCTCATCTGTTACCAAAAAGCACCTCGTGTGCCGACCGAAAAGGCTATCAGCTTTGGCAACTTCATCTCTGAAGTAGTACGTTTTTGTTGCCTGGCTGCCGATGACTCGCCTGGGTGTCAGGGCACTCGATGGTCCAGTACTCGTGCTCACTATCCCAGGTCATCGTCGGATCATACCCCAGCTGGTCTTTGTCGCACAGCGAGAGGTTCACAGCAGCCCAATGTACTCCCGACGACCTGCGCTTGTTGATACGTCCATGGGGTTGCTTGCAAATATGCAGTCGTTTGAGAACAAGCAGACCCGCACTTCAGTTCCACAGGAGGTCTGTCCCAGAATAAAGCGGCGATTCGGCTGGGGCATACATGTGGCGCGAGTAGTCCACAAGCTGCTTGTATGCGTCATTCTTGTCCTTGCGGGTGTTTGAGTACTTTGCCTCGACAATGGCGAATATATCTGCATAGGACATATCAGGCAGCTGCTCTTCCAAATCGCCAGGTCGACAGGTGGTCAACCCGATGTCAATCTTGCGGTCGTCGTCGCCACATAGGGGCTTTCTGTTCGTCTTCGGATAGCAGATGATGCAGCGCTGATGAACGACAGAAGGGAAAAGCGTACCGAGACCAAGTTTGTCAAAGAGGAACTTGACAAATGGGGCGACAAAGTGAACGAAGGACTGGAAGGGGGTGTACAACTTCGTTTCTTTCTTGCCGCCGGCCTTGCCCTTGTTGTGGTGGCGGACCCACACCTGCAGCTCCTCCAGGATTCCTCGCAGACTTTCGAGGAACTCCCTCCTTTTAGCCTTATACCCTCTGGTTCGAAGTCGACGCGAGCGCGGGCTTTCGTCTTTGGCGTCCTTGTACAACAGGTTCATGGTGTGAGTGAGTATTTGTTCGCATCGGAACCATCTGTTGGGGTCCAGCAAATGTTCCAGCTCGAGGTGGATAATGTCGGCTATGGATGAAGAAACACTACCCGCCTCTCCCCTCGGAGCTATGATAATGTGGATTTGTCGGTACCCTCGATGAGTTGGCCAGAGACAACACTCTCGGCGAGCTCTTCGCGCTCTGCCTGGATCTCTTTTTTGGTTAAGAAGCGATTCTGCAGCTGGTCTATATCCAGAGGCCTTTGCAGGAGCTCGGTCTGCCGGTGACGACGATGCTGTCTCTTCCCTTGACCTCGATTGCTGCCTATTTGTCAAGTGTTGTGTTAGTAGACATGCTCTTTTGGTTAAAAACGTACGAGGATGTTTCCAGTACTTACTGTTGCTGCTGCTGCTTTTGCAACGTGTTGTCGTTTGGCGCTGACGGCACCGGTGAGTGACTGAGCGCTTTGCTCACGTCGCCCCTCTCAGGCGCTTGCCTGGACTGTTCTTGAGTGAGATACTGCTTGTGCGTTTGGCAGACATGGTTTAAATGTTAGGTGTAAGTAAAAAATAATGTCCAAATGGCAAAAGTACAGGACACATAGGATGCTTGCGCAGCCAGGATTTGTAGGACGGCGACTGCAGCGGCACTGTCTACTGTACTTGCTTGAACTCACTCTGTCGGCAGTCCCTTTTTGCACATGCAGGCAGATGTGGCTTGTGTATGTGCCGTATTTCGGTGCACGACTAAGCTGCGATGGTTTTTGTCACTTCAATTAGCCATTGTACCTGCTTCAGTTCAGGTTATCGATGCATTTCCCCATTTCCCCTGGCCTCTATCCATCGTTTCTGCATACCCATTTCTTTTATGTGAATACTAGCTCATTTACGGTTTGACAAATGTATTCATTTATATATAATTCACTATGTGTACATATCAAATGCTCATGGCGCAGGTCGGCACCAACATTCCGTAGAGGCCACAAAATGTCACTGACAATCTGCAAACCTCTGGGCGTCAGTGCCATCAAGTTCCTTTTCTGGAATAGAAATACTGATCAGCTATGGAGAACGTCAAGCCTGGCTGCACAGGCAAGTAAGGGGGCGCCTACCTACATCGCCTCCGCATACCTTTCCCCAAGAGAGTGACATCTGGCCACAAATGTGGTCGGGGATACTTGTTACCCACACACAAGAGTGCGGCAACACGTGTGATCAGCAAATGAGCTGCTGTCTATATTTGGATCCAGGGGCGGTTTTAAGGTGCCCCAGATGCCCACCCTCTCTGTGCTATAGAGCTGGGGCTAGATTCTTGAGCCCCAAAAAGGTGCGTGCAGCTCCTCCTGTGTACTATACCATTTGCCTCCGGTTTTTGCTGAATGGCGCCCATTGCCGGCAGGCTGCATGAGCGATCGGTAAAGCCGCTTTGCCAAATCGTGGTCATTTTGCGCCGTGTCCCCTCTTTTCCAGACAAAATAGTCATTACTCAGTTGGCTTGTAGTTGTCGATGGTGACGTTTCTTATTTGCAACTCCGCTCTGCATGTAGTTCTTGGGTGCTGCCACAGCGAATAAGGAGTGCATCCTGCCCTGCTCAAAAGGCTTGCAGTGACATTTGCATTGTCTATTTCCATGCGGCTAACACAGTGGTCTTGGCTGGAAATGCACGCCTGCTTTTATGCTGCTCACAGTCCATACTGTCAAAATCCACTCCATCCCCTGCATACTCGAAGCAAGCAGAGCAGCGGGTTGTCACTATCAAGTGTTTTGTGCATGGCCTTGCGCTGCGTGCTGCTGCGGATCATTGTGCAGCTGCCATTTTCGGTTAATTAAGCTCCTGTTGCGCAACCAAAAATACTTGTTCTGCTCATGGCAATAGCCCCTGATTTTGGAGCAGACTGACACCACATGCACGGCCATTGTTCATACTGGTTCTCGCTGCTCCATCTCCGCATGCTTCAGTGCTAAAAATTGTTTTTGGTTTTGGCAGTGTGGAATTCGAGCGATGCCAAACTTTTATTGCTCGGGACTTTCAGTCCAAGCTCCGGATCCACATAGACTGCAATGCATGCATTGCCGCTGCTGCCCTCAGAAGTAGTACAATGAGTCTTTTAGTGCAAATCGGCGTGCTCTGCGAAAGATTCGCTTGACTAAGGTCCTAGTCAGGCAGTGGGCCGCTATTTTTCAGGTTGACATCATTTCCATGTGTGGACACCAGGTAGCAGGACCACCCACTCTGATATATATGACAGAGAGAGAAGCAATGAACAAATAGCAGCACAGCACAGTATGGTATGGTATTTATCAGAAAATTTAGACTACTCATCTTTTTCTTACTTTCTTTTATTCTCGAATCGATCCAGTCACCGATCTGGTCCTCTCTCTCCTTTTCCGCAAGCTCCCTATTATCTCTTTAAGACTGCCTTGGTGTGTCTTTTCTCAATATAATCTCTTTTACTAGGGTGCTACAGCCCCGACCCAACTCAATACCCCGTAATCTCAAACACAGACTACTAGAGCTTCCAGCGACTCCACAAGAAGGCGAGGCCTCGTGGACAGGTGGACGAGCAAGATGTCGTGGAACAATATGCCAAAGTGAACAGCCAGGTGGATACTTCGGGCATGGATGAACTGGCTGGTTCACTGAACAGGCTTGGCCGTAGGAAGAGTGCCACAGATACAAAATGGCAATATCCAGGGAAGCAGCACTGGACGCAGAAACGCAGGCAATGTCGCTAGTGACGATCAGAGCGATCCTATCTAGTCAAGTTCCAACCCCCTTCGTGTTGATGAGCCGCTGCAGAACAGCATAGGCAGCGAATCCCTTGAAAGCTGAACTGAGCATATAAAAGCACATATCAGTCTGATCCCCGACCCGGAATTTAGGCAACGAATGTGTGCTATGTTGGGTAGGCAGTGTCAGAGTGGCCACCCGAACTATTTCTAGTCACCGGCCATACTGGTACTGCTGCCTTACGCCAGCAAATAGTTGGCGAACCGCTACCTGCAGTTGATAGTGGTACCCAAGGTGCTCCCCATGCTGCATTCAGCGGTGGGGGCCCTAATATTGCCGGTTCGGTGCATACTGTGGTGCAGGAAGAAGTGGCTGCGTCTGGTACAGTTAAGCGTCCGGCTACAGAAAGCCATGGGGCCCGAACCCAGATGATGGCCTGAATGACTCTGAAGAACAATAACCCCTACTCAACTGGTCCAACTTTATAACAAATGCACGGCTGACAGATTGTGTTTTGACATATATCGTATTGCGTAGTAAAAGCTCCAGACATAAAAGATGTCAGCCATCTACTCCAGCTACTCCAGATGCCTGCCACTAACAAAAATCACAGGCGCAGTGTTGCAGGCATGGGTAGAAATTGGGCAAATATACGCTATTGCATTTTGGTCATTAATGCCAGCTATTTGTATGTGTAAAGCAGACTGCAAAAGCGTGTCTTTGCAAATAGCCTCCACAGCTGCCGTGATAGCCTGGTACGACGATCGGTAAAGTCCATAGACGGTCTCCAGAAAATGCTAATCAGCTCTGATCGATCACTTGCAGATCAATTCCTCTGCTATCTCTGTGTGTCTCCAAAAAGCTGCCTGGTCTAACATGAAGCGGCTCAGAAGCAGAAGAAAAAAAGCCAGCCCACTAGAACTGAACCCAATTGCAGCGAGCTCCAATTCACCTTCCCCTCGTCTCTCTAATTCGATTTCATACTTTTTTATTTCAATTCACAGTCACGGTTTTGTAAAATGGGCGCGTCAAATTCCAAGCAGGAGCCCGTAGTTATCTACGCGAACGAGGTCCCCATTGGCGTAAGTACAACTCCCCCTTGACGCAGCCAATACAGACCGGTCCTTCTAAAATACCATCCGTGTAGTTTTCGCCGGGACTGAACGAGAAGCTGGTGCGCGAAGCGCAGACGAAGAAGAAGCAGCCAGCGGCGCCGACCAAGCCCTCGGGTGTGCAGCTGTCGGAGAAGGAGATCGCAGATAAGGTGGAGCAAGGAGTAGCGCAGGAGCTGGCGCGGATTCTGGAGCAGACGCAGCTAGCGGCAATGCAGGCGAAGGATGCGGCAGGCGAGCACGGCGGAGCTGTTGAATGAGATCCGCGATACGACGGCACTGGCTGGGGGGAGCGGCGGGGAGAGAAGTCGCCGACGTTCCAGAGCGCGCTGGCCAAGCGCGATGCGGTGGCGGCGTGCCTGCGGGAGAAGGGCGGACGGACGCTGGATTGCTGGGAGGAGGTGGGCGAGTTCAAGCAGGCCGTGGGCGAGCTGGAGCGCGAGTTTGTTGCGGGATCAAAGTAGATTGCATGTTGTGTTGTTTGCGGGGCCAATATTGAGTACGTCAAATTTTTATATAGAAACTTTTTGTTTAGTTTTGTGCTGTGACCATCAGGCGCGGGGGCAATGTTCATTGCCATGAGCTCCTGGAACAGCAGCTTGCAGGCATACGGAATATGGACCTGCGAGATCTGCGTGCTGTTGCTGCAGGCTGTGCACTTGAACTGGTTCTTCTTCAGGCTGGCGACAGCCATCAGGCCGCACCTGTCGCAGACATGCACTCTGTAGGCATCGGAGGCATCAAACAGCCGCTCCTTCAGGAACTGAGCCACGCCGTGGGCAATCATGACATCGCGCTCCATCTCACCGAAAACGCAGGCCACCGTCACGCGAGCGACCCTCGACGGGCTGGCGGGTCAGGATCTGCACGGGGCCACGGGCACGCGAGTGGATCTTGTCGTCGACCATGTGCTTCAGGCGCTGGTAGTACGTGGGACCCAAAAAGACCTGGGCGGCCAGCTTCTTGCCGGTGTGGCCGTTGTACATGACCTCGAAGCCGCGGGGCTGGTAGCCGTGCTCCAGGAGCTCGCGCGAAATCGCCTCGACAGTGACGTCGGTGAAGGGCGTCGCGTCGCCCTCGGACCCGAGCAGCGTCGACAGCTTCGACAAAAGGCACTCGACCAGATGCCCGATGGTCATACGCGACGGAATGGCGTGCGGGTTGA